TTATGGAGGTGGAACCGTTCACAATTGAAGAAAAGTCTTTCTCCATTATTGACCCGTTAACCAATTTCGCAACTCCGGGAAAACAACTTAAATAGAATCGACCAGGGGCTTTGGAAGACTTTTTGATAGTGTGGATGACAAACATTTGTTCAACAGACAAGGTGCAGGTTCTATCTGCACAAAATCTCCACCATAGGTACCAGAAATCCATCAATGTACCCCACCCATTGGGTGCTAATTGAGCAGGAGCTAGGTTGTCAGCATTAAGAAAGAACTGGGCGAAAGGATGTAAGGGTAACCTAACGCCATATTCGAACATTTGCTGGTAGAAGCCTAATGGAGGTTTCACTCGCCGCAGGGATTCTCAACTCAATATCGTTCGGGATGGAATAATTATATCTAAGTATCCCTAGTAACTCCTCAGGACAATTTGAATACGAATAGTCAGAGTAGTCACCACTAATTTCCAGCGACTCACTTCGCTTGCGCCGATAGGATTTTCTACTTTTAGTTGAGGGGTCTCTAAAATAGTTTGAGAAGTTGAAGGCCAATGAGAACTAGCATCAAAAGACTTGGTCCTAGCCATCTACAAAACTTAAAAGGCAGGAAGGAAATTAGTATCGGGTGCAGGGATTACCTAATGCAAAGCAAAAATAAACAGAGCAATCTACTTCGTCGATTTGCGATAGTCGAAATCCCTTGTCCTAGCTGCTTAATTATGCCTTCTGAATTATGAAAATCAAGTGAAACTCGGGTTGTAACGTTATAAATACTTAACGGAAAACGGTGTTAGTTCGGAAGAGTGGGAGAAAAGATAATTTCGGATCCGTACTGGTGTAAAGTGAATCGAACACTACTTCAAGAATTCCAAATTAAGGTACTTGAATCTTCTTGAAGTAGGGGGCTATGAATGCGGTATGATCTTGATCGGGGACATGCATCTTGATTTGGTTGTACCCAGAGTAGGCGTCCATGAAGGTGAGCAGTTCGTGCCCGGTTGTGGCGTCCACGAGCTGATCAATCCTCGGCAGTGGGAAGCAATCCTTCGGGCATGCCTTATTTAAGTTCGTAAAATCTACGCACATTCTCCACTTTCCGTTAGATTTTTTAACTAATACAACATTGGAGAGCCACTCGGGATACGAAATTTCTCTTATGTACTTAGCTTTCAAAAGTTTGCTAACTTCCTCAACAATTACATCACTCCGCTCTTTGTTTATAGGTCTTCTTTTTTGCTTTACAGGTCGGAATGACGGATCTATGTTGAGGCGATGCGTCATAATTTTTGGGTCAATGCCAGGCATGTCCTCATGGGACCACGCAAAGACATCCGAGTTGGATCTGAGGAAGTGGAT